TGTCTTAATTCTTATTTAGTTGTCTGTAATCCACGCATAGCCGAAGGTTCCCATCTTTTTTTCTGACACAGACCACTGGCGATGAATACGATGAACGTGATTTTTGAACGTACCCCTTATTCAGTAAATCCTCAACATACTGTTTAATTTCTGGATATAGAGGTCGTGTAATAGCTGTGTAATTCTTCTGTACTGGAACCGAATCTGTAAGATGAATATTCATTTGTAGACCTTTAGCATCGCCAATTTCACCTTCTCTTGAAAATGAATCTACTTCTTCTTTCAACATCTGTTGTACTTTCCATTTCTGTTTGTTTGTCAGTCCCTCAAGATTCGCCTCAGGTAGACAGAGTTTCGATTTCCCATTAGTTTTTCTTTAGACCCGTGCTGTCGACACTGACATCCACTTCCGTCCCATTACATTGAGGCTCTTCTGTATTGTTATTAGTATTTTTAGACTGTATATCATCCATTGGGTTTATTGATCTCACCATTTGAAGCGTTCCTAAGATGTCTGTTTGTCCTGGTTAATTTTCACAGCCGATTTTCTAGTAATTTCTTCAATTACATTATACCCCACAACCGGTAAATCAAGAACAACCTTGCTGACTAAAAATGGTATTATTATTTTGCCTTTGGCAAATTTTCCTGAAGCCAAGCACTAGAAACAATTGAAAGTTGGGCCCCTATGTCCCAGAGAGCAGTTGTCTTCACCCCATTCAATGAACATTGTACAGTACATTTCCTCCCCACCAACTGTGTAATGACTGCATTTTCTCTAGGAGATAAGTGACATGCATAGACACCGTCGTCAACAAAGTTTTCTCTTAACTTTTGTTCATGAAGGTCTGATAATTCATTACATTTATGTTTTATGTTCATTCCAATGTTTACGTTGGCAGGCTGGGGAACAGTATCTGAAAAATTTACACTTACTACACTGTTTAAATGGAGTGTCTGTTTCACTCACGTTGCAAAATGTACAAGAATGGGGCAAACCAGTTTCACGGGCACTCCACGTCCCTTGGTCGTAGCCGTTTCCCGTTTCCCTGGTTCTTCTTACACCCTCTTGCAAAATGTTCACTTGATCCACACTTAAAGCAATGGTCACATACCTGTTCACCAGACTGTTTACATGAATCACATTGACCTTTCCTTTGCTTTTGTCGACTGTGCTCCGGTCCATTATCAGCTCTCCTCTGACTTTGTTGTGACCGGTAGAGTGCCTCCTTTAACGATGCCAAATCAGCTTGTACCGATTCCAGAGTTGCAGTTAACTTGTTTTTATCTTTGTCTGTCAAATTCTTCTTCGACTTTATGCTTTTTTTCTTACTAGCAGGATCTTCAATGTCGTTTTGACTTGCCCAACCAGGTTCCTGGTTAGTCACCACTTGAGCACCTTTCTTGACTCCAGCCATCTTGTTTTGTCGCTCCGTTTCTGCCTACACAGCAACATTAACTCGTTCCATTAATTCCTCGTCAGTAACGCCAGGTTTTTCCAAGAAAAGACGTGACTTAGCGCTACCCGTATTCATTCTTGCTGCATCCCTGTCTCAACAACATGCAAGAATAGAGATTGTACCATTAATTTTCATACTTGACAACATTATCGTCCGCTTCAGATGCAAATATTACTTGCTGACGAAGGTTCATGGCTCTTATTAAGAAGTCCAGTGCCGACTGTTTTGGGCCTTGACATAGTGAAGTTAATTCTTGATACATTTCTGTTTCAGATTTTTCTTTAAAGTGTGCGCGTAAGATTTGCTTTAAACGAACTAACGACATATCGTTCATCATCTCGAGATACGAGCGAAGCTTCGTATCTCGAGATGAGAAGAGAGAAGTCGAGAAGAGACAAGTCAGGAAGGGGGTCCAATTTTTTGAAAGGGGGGCCTAAATGCTGAAATTGCCGAACGTGTGAATTTTTTGGGAATATTGTGCAAGACTTGGGTCAATTTTATAACTTTAGGTTGTGCTGAAAACATTTAAACCTTTTTTGCGACATATCGGTTGGCACGGCCCTGCAAGTACAATACAATTGTGTTGAAAAATATTTGTTTGAGCCAGAAAATAAATAAATCTCAAAACATGTCTTCTTGTGTGATATATCATATGTCTTAATAGAGAACGTTTAACCTATAGAGTCGCATTTTGCCCTGATGTGCCCCATTATTTTACTTGTCAAGGGGAGATTGCTGGCGCTTAATGTGTTAATAGAGAGGGGGGGCTCAACAAATTTTTTCATCTAAATTGGACGAGGAGACTTAATAGGAAGATTAAAGTAGCAAAGTCAAAGCTTTATTACAGACTTTGATGTAGATGCAACTGCCTGAAAAGTAAGTTCTTTTTTCAAAATGTGCAAGTTTGTTCTCATTTTTCAAATTTGGCTATGTACATTGTACACTCAAGCCTGCCAATTTTATATGGGAGTATGTGCATGTTGCTGGAACAGGAACCAGCTTCCAGAGCTGGAAGTGATTTTATTTGACAATTTATAGCCATTTGTGACTTATTTACATTTGTTTGAGGTCTGACTGGTATATAAAATGTTTTCCAGGTTTTAACCTAAACTGAGATCCGGTGGACCCCTACAAACTATCTTATTTACTTTCTTCTGTACACTGACACCCAACATTCAAGAACAAAAATTATTAAGCCAATACACCATTGCCCAGAAAGCTAGGTAAAATTGTAAATACGAGAATACCAGGTCAAGTGCCCACAGCAATCTGAGCTTTTCCCGGCACCCTTTCAGCACCCTTATGGCTCTTTTAATTTATCACCAAAATCAAGTTCATTGCGAGTAATTCCATGTAAATGGGAAAGAGTTATGGTTGAAAACACCTGCAATGTTTATGTTGTTCTTACAACGAATGGAAAAGAGACCTCAGCTTTATATATAATTAATATAATGACATGATGTTTACTGGTTGGTACAAAAGTTTTTTGACATAACACCAATTTCTTTGATATCCTAATTCCCTCTTTTAAAGATAATAGCAGTTGTGGTTTCATGTCTTTACACCTGCAAATAAAAGTTACTCAGCAAATCAATTAATCAAAGAATAGTATGAAATTCAAGCATGTTAAATTTGAACCCTATGCGTTTAATCGTGGCTAAAATATTTACTATATTGTACAAAGCATCTCGTGCTAAAAATAAATGCATATTACGATATCATTTCATATTAACAGTGTTCACCTGTAATAGCTTCGCCTTGATTCAAATATCGTCTTTGCCAACATTTTGCGGGGCGTTTGTTGTCTTTCCCGGACGTCTACGACTTGTACTTCTTTGAATAGATGGTCGCATGTGGAAAAATATGTCAAAATATCAAAAACAACGAGAATTTACTGAAAAAACTCGAAAAACCTACGAATATGTGAAAACTGCAATGGGATCAGAAATGAGCCTGGTTAGCGGTATTTCTATGGCCAAAAGGAAACAGTTGCCATGGAAATGGCGGCAAGATCCGCCATGTTTTTGGCTTCACTTTTTTATGCCAAGCACTTCCTCTAGTATATAGTATAGCTCAGTGGTATGTACAAAAAGTTTAAAAACAATTATCGTGTTGCCATGACTAACATGACGTGCAACACGAGCCTGCGTTCAGTGTTGGCATAATTACGAATACTTCATGTTGAAACAATGTTTGGAAAATATAGGCGAGGGGCCGTTGCATGCATGTATTTCTAGTTTAATTATGAATTATATATTTTTTATATGCTATATTTATATTTATAGTCCGTTTGCAAAATTCGTGTTTCAGTGAATTCTAATAAAAATGTGAACTATTTTTCTCATTTTACAACTGAAGGTGGATGATGATGTTATAAAAATCGACGTGCATGTGCCGAAAGAATATATAAAACTTGTAGTGGGCAAAGGACATAAGAATATAGAGAGAGCCGAAACGAAATCCGGAACAAAAATCAAAGTGCCCTCTCCCCGAAATGCTGAAGGTACGTTAGAATCGTTTCACATTTTAAGGGATAAACGTTTTGTTTGCATGTTAATCTAGAATGCTTTTAGTCGGTTGTTAGAAATTTCGGTAGCATTTATGTCAGCAAGGAGTTTCACCTTCCAAATTTTTGGCGGAACATTTTTACTGTAAGAGATATTTTTGCCCGCTACTCTATTTCGAGTAATTGGATACAAAGCACGAGGTTTCCTTAATTCAGCCCCATTCGGGCTAATTAGTTGTTCTGGACTGGGACTTATTAGAATTGGGGCGGGGGGAGGGCTAAATAGAGGAAACACTGTAGGCACACAAGTGAGCCATTTCTATATAAAGAAGATATGAAAGGGGCTTTCATGCTGCCTTCTTTGTGCGTTGCATTTTTCAGGTTTTCCTCCTTAATTGCCTAAAATAATACAAGAAGCAAACGTTTAATATACAATTTAATGTTTTCATCGCCTTTTGTATAAACAATTTGTACAAATTGTACAATCAATTTGTATCCTATATCCAATATAGTAATTTAATTCACACCACAAACATATTTCAACAACAACACCAACTACAGCCAACGACAATGAAAATTAACTTTATTGAAATAAACGATTTAATTATATATACAATTCTAGTCTCTATCATTTAGGTGATTTAAATTTTAGTATAGGTAATCATGCGATGTTGCTCGTACAATTAGGGATTAATAGTACTCGTGATGTTTGGAAATTTGCCAAATTGGACTCGCCCGCCGTACTTGTTTATTATTAGCATGACAAAATTGGATACTTCTCAATGTCAACATCATATTCTCTCGCCAAAGCCCAGTCCTGCCAGACATTCAACCAAAATTTGGTGCTTTTGTTTGTATTTCCATTTAGTTCTTTTGTTAAAGCAAAATTTGGTGCTTTTCTTCGTATTTTCATCTGGTTCCTCCACTGCAATTTCATTTCACATTTGTGTATAAAATACCTTTCCGCCATTTTGTTTGTTTTTGGAAAATCATTAATTGTACTGCAGTACAATTAATGAAATAATTGTACTCCTCTCAACCAATCAGCGTCCAGTAATTTTGTCATGCTAATAATAAGCCATGTAATAGATAACTTATTGACAGAGCTTGTTCGGTTCAGACAGTAGGATATGTAGAATATTTGTTTCTGGACCGAGCCTTAGGTGAGGTCCATATACAACAGAAAAGCACTACCCGTCAAGGAAACTTGCCATTCTGTGACGACAAATAACGTGGTAGGAAGCTATGAAATACGGTTCCTCGGATATCCTTGTCGGGTGCCTTGTCTGTGAGTTTGTATATTTTGCTACCACTATTTCGGCACCAAAATATCAATACCATGATAAGGTTTTGCTTCTGCACCACCTCCCATCTCACTGATCTACTGCATTTCATGCTGATCAACTGCATCTCTTTGAGGACAAGGATTGGTGAGCATCGGCCTTCAGCCATTGGCAATGATGCTAATCAGCCTGTCGGTTCAATTCGAGCCCTCGCCTCCTTACCTTACCTTACCTTACCTCACCTCACCTCACCTCACCTCACCTCAACGCGCCTCGCCTTGCCTTATCTTGTCTTGTCTTGTCTTCAAAATTACTTTATACCACAACTTGTTTTCACTAACAAAATTTAGCTCAACGTGGAGATACAATCAAATTGGAAATTACTGGAACAGCCAAAAATTGCGCCCGAGCCGAACTGCTCCTCAAAAATGGCGTCGTAAGTTTTTTCTGTCCATACCTGCATATGAAATTAAAGTTTTATAACATTCTCATCATAGTACAAGATAGCATAATAAATTTAAATTTGCAATTGTAGATTTCCTTAAAGGACAAATTTTTGGGAAATGAATTTGAAGGCAATATTCATTTTGTTTGCGTCGCTTTTAAACATGAAAATGAAGAGTTTCGCTTGACACCAGGTGCAAGTGCTCCTAAACTGGATAATTTCATTAAAGGTCAGAGATATAGAATTGAAACCGAGATGGACGATGATGACTCCCAGGTAACGTCAATGTAACAAGAAATTAACTTAAGTTAACAAATTTAAACAATGGCAAGTTGTCGCCCAAAACAACGCTTGATTGTAAAAAAACAGTGAAAACGGTTTAAAATATCACAATAACAATATAAAAATAGTAGAAAACTCATTTACCTGCTGTTGCGAACCCTTAGCTGACAAAGACACGGACTCTTACATGGGTTTTAGATTTTACTCAAAAAGTGTTTTTCTTATACTTTTTGTTCTTCAAATTTTGGATCATACAAAACAACAGTATGTACATGTGACCAAAATTCACATAAATTAACATTACGAACAAAATCGTGATCGCTAGGAAACACTTCTTCCTCCAATGCCATTTGCCACTCGCTTCTCGCGTTTTTCACCGATTTCTAATGCAAGATTGCCGACTCCGACATTCTTTTTCTTCTCGTGCGACTTTGCTCCGATTAACAAGTTTGAAGCGAAATACTTCATCCAGCATTGCCATAGTTGGCATACTCTCTTTTGAACACTTTTGCTGCTGAGATCGTTCGAGAATAAGTAGCTCTTTCTCCTTGGGTTTTCGTACACCAAAATATGTTCCTATGATCCGATCATTTAGAGTAATCGGAGTGTCTTCCAAGATGGTGTCCGGTGCATTGTATAAGGGTCTAGATTTGACCAAGAACGTTACTTCAGCTAGAAATTAATGTTCTCCATTGATCTTCTGTGTAGTTTCCCAATGCTCTTAGAACTTCACAGCGATCCGATCGACTTTATTAGCGATACCACCACTCCATTCATGTGACTAGCTAGGTTTAAGTACATTCCAAATTATTCAAAAGAAGGGCCAAATTCTGTAAAGTTGGATTTGATCTTTGGTATATCCCAATCCTGCACCAACTCTTTGAGTTATCTTTGGAAAACCAAAGGAATTAGTCCCAAGGTCTGACCAAACTAATTTTGCCCTCGTAGACATGCAAATCTTCTAAAAGCCATTAGGAACGTATATGTAGACTTCTCCAGTTAGGTCATGTGGGTATGCAGCACCAAGCTTCTTTGATGGTCTTCCTACTTTGATCTTAATGGACTGAAAAGGTCTAAAGCACTGTTGCCAAAGCGGGGATGATTGGCATCTGTTCGATAGCTTGGTAGCTGTTCCATGCATTGCGTTGTTCACATGTTTTCTTTCGCATCCGTTTGCAAGGATGCAGGCTTTGATACGATTTCTGGCTAGTACGTCTCCTAGGCGAATTACCAATACCTCTTTTTGATTTCCATCAATCTTTGGGTTGTTACTGTGCTGCGCTTTGATGGTAAACTTGCGTTTAAACCAAAATTGCACCCAGTCTATTGGTCACTCCTTTGACTTTCTTTGGCGGTGTCCCCGACCCAGAGATGTCATCCACATAAGAATGATCCTTTAGGATCCTTGCTGTTTCTGAAGATTCATCTCGAGCTCTATCAGCAAGAAGATTAATGGCAAGGTCAGGAGCCAGTTTGTCCCTAAAACTGATAGGTACCGATAGATGATTCCAGCTATCGACTAATTATTGATGCAGACAAGAAGGATGAAATCTATCATTATAGCTTAAGGTGGCTCAATACAGTTTTTAAAAAATGGTTTTAGATGCGTGTTTTTGAACAATTATTATTTGATGATAAACAAAAAGTAGCTTACTTATATAAGACAATATCTAAAGAGTATGAATTTTTGAACAAAAGTTACGCAACTGCCGTTGCTATGGCAACAATGACGTTTCAAGATGGCAGATCTTTTGGCTTTAAAGTAATTTAACTCGTAAACGACATCGTTGACCCTCAAATTTTATTTTAAAAAAATGATTTCTCTTAGCATAATATATTATTTGACAATTTAAAAAAAATTATTATGAATAATCTTCTTTACGTCATTTAAAATATTTTCGCTCCACATCATTTTTTTTTCATTTTCCAACGTAATTCAATATACTAAGACAAACCGTTTTATGAAATAAAATTTGGGGATCACCCATGTCGTTTTCGATTTAAATTACTTTAAGCCAAAATATCCGCCATATTGAAACGTCATTGTTTCCATAGCAACGCCAGTTGCGTAACTTTTGTTCAAAAATTCGAACTCTGTGGATGTTGTTTTACATAAGTTAGATGCTTTTTGTTTTTGAACAAGTAATACTTGTCCAAAAATACGCATCTAAATCGCAAAATTTCCATTTTAAATTTTGTATTGAGCCACCTTAAAAGAACATCCTTAAATTAGTAAAATTGCCAAATTTGGTTGCAAAATGTTGTAAAATACGGAAAGCCGCACGGAAGTGTGCCATTTTCCCGCGCATAATACTAAATTCTCAAAATTTGCATATTTCACAGGGCTATATTTTCCGTATTTTACAACATTTCGCAACCAAACTTTGCAATCTTACCCAATTTTAGGATGCTCTGAGCTATAAGGATAGATTTCGTCTTTCTTGTCTAGATAAAAAATCAGTCGATTTTGTCTAGAACGTACGTGTATAGGAGTTCGTATGCGTTTCATTTAGCACAGGTAATTTCGACTGTTTTATAGGGTAAAATGACCATAGCGGTCAACATTGGCATACAATATGTGTCAGAACCTGAATCCGGGACGAAAGTCCTGAAAATGTCCCCGCCCTGAAACGGCAGTGCCGACATAGCTCTAACTTCCGAAAAGCAAAAGTGACAGCCTTTCTGAAGTGCTTATAGTGTTTAGAAGGGTTGCTTT